CGGCGGCGCGGCGCCATTCCGGGCCGGGAGCAGGCAGCCAGCAGCCCTGTCCTCACCGCGGTCCGCCCGCCGCCGCTAAATACCCGGATGCGCCGCCCGAGCGCCAGACGCGGAGCTGGGAAAAGAGAGGCAACGGAGGCGGTGGCAGAGACAGATCCTGAGCCAGAGACGGAGCCGGGCACCGACACTGACCGACCGGCGGGGCCGTGCTACGCAGAACCGGCTCAGCGAGTCCTCCTGTGACCCAAGCCAGGTCCCTAAGAGCCGGGCATACGGACTGGTCTCGGAGTCAGGGGCGCTAGAGTCGATCCCGTGTCAGGCTTCACTCGCCTCCGACAGGGGCTGGCCCTTTTGAAGGCGCCTTCTTCAACAGCAGGACGAGGCAGGCCACCATGACCGAGAACTCCACATCCACCCCTGCGGCCAAGCCTAAGCGGGCCAAGGCCTCCAAGAAGTCAACAGACCACCCCAAGTACTCAGACATGATCGTGGCTGCCATACAGGCGGAGAAGAACCGCGCTGGTTCCTCGCGCCAGTCCATCCAGAAGTACATCAAGAGCCACTACAAGGTGGGCGAGAACGCCGACTCGCAGATCAAGTTGTCCATCAAGCGCCTGGTTACCACTGGGGTCCTCAAGCAGACCAAAGGAGTGGGTGCTTCGGGGTCCTTCCGGCTGGCCAAGAGCGATGAACCCAAGAGGTCGGTGGCCTTCAAGAAGACGAAGAAGGAAGTCAAGAAGGTGGCCACGCCAAAGAAGGCAGCCAAGCCTAAGAAGGCTGCCTCCAAAGCTCCCAGCAAGAAACCCAAAGCCACCCCAGTCAAGAAGGCCAAGAAGAAGCCGGCTGCCACGCCCAAGAAAACCAAAAAACCCAAGACTGTCAAAGCCAAGCCAGTCAAGGCATCCAAGCCTAAGAAGGCCAAACCAGTGAAGCCCAAAGCCAAGTCCAGTGCCAAGAGGGCCAGCAAGAAGAAGTGACAGTGAAGCTTTTCTTGTGGACACTCCTGCCTGTCTCCTATTTTCTGTAAATACTTTTCTCCTTCTCTCTTACTCTTCATCTGCAACCCCTTGTCCCTTTCTATTCTGACTTTATGAGAGACAGAATTTGGATTCCTCAGAAATTGGGGAATAGTTTATTTTTCCTTAACCAGTCGTGCAAGGACAGCAACAACAATCTCATCTCTGTAATGATGAGAATATACTTAATTTTTTTTTTAATTTGTTAATTACTTGTTTTGGGGTGGGTTTGTGTTTTGTTTAGTTGGGTGGTTTGTTTGCTATGAAGGAAAAAGGGCAGGGGATCAGGAAGGCAGCTTGTTCTGGCTAGGTGAGAGGGAGCCCAGGAATTGTAAGGTTTGTAGGGATATCTTTTAAGACGATTTCGCAAAGTTGAGCAGCCCTTGTGAGTTTCAGAACCTTAGTGGGGTGGAGAGGGGTGGCAGCAGCTGAATGCAAAGGAGGGAGGTGGAATTAAAACCCTCCCTGGCCTGACTTCCACCTCCCAGTGGTGAGCAGTGGGGTATTCAAGTCGAATTTCCTTCTCACTTCTGTTAGTCTGCCCTTGTGGCCTCCCTATTGTCCTACGGAAGGGGAGGGTGTCAGAGTGACAGCTAGTCTGAGAAGCCGCAGCTTCTCTCAGTCAGCTGGAAACTAGCCATGGAGGGGGTTTCTTTGTGGCTTCCGAAAGTCTCCTGTTAAATGGGATTGGAAACTTTGGGGGAAGGGTGGGGAATCAGTCAGCCAAGTGCCTCAATGTTCCCTGTTGAAACTTGGGTTTTTCCACGCAATTGGATTGTATCCTAGGAGGAATTTTTCCCTCCTGGTTTTTGGTTCCTCCTGTACAAGAGGTGGCTTTGCTTGGTGGTCTGGTAGGGCTCCAGCCCTGCCACCACCACTTTAAAACCTCCCGACCTCTTTTATTTCTGAGTCTTTTTCTAAGTAGTGGTAGATGGGGGAGGGGTAGTGGGCGGGGAGTGGACAGTAAGACATACTGCAGTCGATTTTGAATTGCTAAGTAGTTTTACAGAGCTAAGTTTGTGTGCGTGTAAATGTGTATATACCTATTTAGAGCTAGCACTTAAGTTTCACACCCGGGAGCTGGGAGAAAAAACCTGTACAGTCTTATAAAATAGGAAACGTGCAATTGCGCGTCGTCCTTCCCCCCGCCCCTTTTTTAAACAAGTGTTATTTGTGCCGGGAAGAATTTGCTGTCTTTGTAATTTCAAAACTTTAAAATAAAAATTGAAAAAAGACAAAACCTGAGCTGTGTTTTTCCTCACTTCTAAGACTGAAGGAGAAGGCGGAGAAATTTGGCGAACGAACAGTGGGGGAAATCTGGGACATCTGCACCTGAGAGTGGGGGTGAGGGTTCCAAGAGCTCAACAGACCAGGGAAACCTTAAGGCTGGAAGGGACAGAACGTGTTTCTGGCTGCGCCTCCCTTCGGGGTCCAATGCAACCCCGTTCCTTGATAGAGGTACGTTTGTAGGCAGGGGATGGGAATGCGGTGGGGGTCCGGTGCGCTGGGCCCTGCCGCGCCTTTTGCCGCGTCGCCACCCCTAACCCTTTAGGGACCGTTCCAGTCTCAATTTACAAATCAATCCACTTTCTTGCTCCGCACATCCCGCCCAGCCCCGCCCCTTCCATAGGGCCCCTCTCGCTCCGATTGGCCGCCGGGGCCCGGCCCCCCGGCCACGTGATGCGGTCGCTTTGCGCAAGGCTCTGAAAAGAGCAGGCGCGCTCGCGGGAGGTAGGCGAGGTGGGTGCGAGGTGGGCTAGCTGCGTCCTCCGCGCCGCACTCTGCGGGGTCCCCCGTGGCCGCCGTGCACACACAGCGCTGGCTCAGCTGCGTGGCATCCTGGAGGAGGAGCTGGAAGGGATCCGTGGGGCTGGTACCTGGAAGAGCGAGCGGGTCATCTCGTCGCGTCAGGGGCCGCGCATCCACGTGGACGGCGTCTCCGGAGGTAATTCCCCTCCGCCGGAGTCATCGGACGTGGCCGGGTGGTAGAGGGCCGTTCCGAAGCTTGCGGTGAATGGAGGTCCTGGAGGCAGTGGGCGGCGGGAGCCCCTGTACACGTAGCACTGGCTCCTCTCTCAGCTCTCAGGCTGACTCCAGGGCTTCCCAGTGTTAACTCTAACCTGGTAAAACCCGTTTCCACGGAGGGAAACGATTCGCCCTGGAGCATCTCTTGACTCAGAGGACAGGCTTGGACTGAAACCCAGTCCTGGGAGAATGTGAGGAAAAGAGAGACACACAGTTGGGTCTCGCCTTGGTACTTCAAGTAAGGGTGGTGGGAAGATGCAGCAAGAAACCCCACATTTCTGGAGCTTCTGCTTTGTACAGGCCTCTACTAATTGCTACACGTGGACTCCTGCACACCTCCAGATGTAGGAACGACATCCCATTTTACACACATGGAAATTGAAGCTCAGAGATATAAAGTAGGCTGCCCCAAATCCCCCAGCTAGCCGTAGGCAGAGCTCGACTTTGGTCCAGGTCCTCTGGTATATTGGAGCTGAAAAGTCACCTAATGGGCCAAAGAGGCCAACTTCCCGACCAAAGCCACAGTGAGCAAGGGGCTCATGGACTGCTGCAGGAGTCACGCTATGAATTGGCTTCCCTCATTTCTGTCTAACCATTGATCACTGCTCCTCTTGTCTGTGCCAGGCCCCAGGTGGATGCTGGTTATAAACAGGCCCCCAAACCTGCCTTCTGCCCAGTAAATAGGCATGGAATCTTTGGTGCGATGGCACTCATTTGTAAAACAGAGGTCCCAGGAAAACCCTACCTTCCCCCAGGGGAACTTGGAGCAGGTGAAAAGATGGGAAATTAGGAGACTCAGGTGCTCATCTTGTTTTTACTTCTCCCAGGCTGAGAGAACCTTGCCCTCCTCAGGCTTCTTTCCTCCTTGGGTCATTTGTGTTCACTTTGGGCTTTATAATTTAGGGTCCGAGTCTCAGAGGCACCCCTTTGGGCCTGTGATTCTATACCAGGCAGCAAAGTCAACTGTGGAGTTTGAGGACTGAGGTTGGTGTCTGACTCAACTCTTCTTTTACCAAGGGCCAGATGACAGGTTGTCGGCGGTCCTCAGGGACAGGAGAAGCCAGTGAGGCAGGGCTGGGTTCTTCCTTGGGGAGAATGTGATTCAGAGCCAGAGTTTAAATTTCTCATCCTTCAGGGCATCTCTCTGACCTTTCCTGACCTTTCCTCTCCTGTAGCTGGTGGATTTGGTGCCCCTCCTAAGAGCCCCCAGCTCTCCATCCTGCCTCTGCCCCAGAACAGATCGATCATACTGTATGGTCGTTGCCTCCTCAAGGGTGAATTTACTCTCTAGGCCTCCAGGGTTTGGCCCTGACACCTTTCCAGGCCGTTCCTTAGGGCCTTGAGCAGCTGTGTCTGTTCCCTGTCCTCCATCTCAGGAATCCTTAACTTTTGTGCCAACAATTACCTGGGCCTGAGCAGCCACCCTGAGGTGATCCAGGCAGGTCTGCAGGCCCTGGAGGAGTTTGGAGCCAGCCTTAGCTCTGTCCACTTCATCTGTAGGACCCAGGTAAACAGCGGGTGTTGATGAGGTGGAGGGAGCCTTGTCGCAGGGGTTAGGCACCAACCTCAGTGGTCTGCTTCTCGTAGTCAGCAGAGCTGGTTTAGCCAGCTCAGCTCATCCCATCCCAGGGCCCTGGGCTCACTCTTAGCCCCAGATCTGTCCACTAGAGAGACTGTGTTCAGGCTTCTGTTTTGCTGCAAAGCCTTAGGCAAGAAGCCTTACCTCTCTGGGCATTCATTTCCCTACCTGCAGAACAGAGTTCACCTGTCCACCTATGGGAAAGGAAGAGCAGTAAGCAGAGATTGAGACTGATGGCTCTGGAGCTATTCTGCCTGAACTCAGTTCCCAGCACCACCTTCAACTGGCTCTCTTACTGTGTGCAAATGTCAACCTTTCTGTGCCTCAATCCCTTCACTGGTACTTAATAGAAGCTTTGCAAATTAGAGTTAATACATGTAAAAATGCTTAGAACAGTGCCTAACACATATTAGTGCTCAGTAAATGTTGGTTATTATTTTGTAAATGTTACAAAATAAACATATGAAACTTACAGTGCTTACTATATGTCAGGTACTATTTTAAGAACATTACAAATAATTTATTAATGCTCATAACAGTCCTAAGTGATGGGTGTTATTTTTGTCCCTCTTAAAGAGGTGAGGACACTGAGGCCCAGAGAAGTGAAGTGACTTGTTTAAGGGCACACAAGCTGTCGTGGGATTTGAACCCAGGTGGCCTGACTCAAGAGTTCGTGCTCCTATTTGTGATTATTATTACCTGTCCTCAGAAGGTGAAGATGAAATGAATGTCAGAAATAGAACTCCCTACTTCCAGCCAGGGCACTTTCCAACAAAACCCTCACCCAGGCTGGACAGCTTTCAAACCCAAGGATTTAAGGCTCAAATGAATTACTTGTGTAATCTGCTTCTTTGCCATGAAGCAACCAAAAAAGGCGCTCAGTTTTATATCAGGAAGACACATCTCCCTTTGCCATCCGTAATCCCACCATCTGACCCCCATTACAAAAAGAAGAGCCAACCAAGAAGGGGCACCTAGCGAGCCCCTAATTTCTCAGTGAGAACCAGCTGTGAGATTCCTGTCAGCTCTGAAGAACCCTAGTGGTGGAGAAAGGAGAAGCCAAGGCTCGGTCCGTTTGCAGCCTTCTAAGCCTCTGTCCCCAGGACTTGTCCCACAGACATTAACACCTGTTTCACTCACTTCCTTTAGAGCATCCACAAGGATCTAGAAGAAAAGATAGCCCATTTCCACCAGCAGGAGGATGCCATCCTCTATCCCAGCTGTTTTGATGCCAATACTGGCCTCTTTGAGTTGTGTGGAGGCTGCGGGTGGGAGTTGGTGAAGCCTGCTAGGCTGTGGAAGGCTTGGAAGTGGGCAGTCAGGAGAACCGGTGCCAGTGCCATGGCTCGAGGCTCCAGTGCCCATTTCTTTCGGAGGTCAGTATGGGCCAAGTAGAGGCTCCAGGAAGAATCCTGAGGCTTACAAGACCAACTTCCAGAGTATTTAGGGGTTCACCTACATCACCTGGAAGGCTAGGGTAGGCAGGGGCCAGGCATTTGCTAAACATGTTCTCACTACAGCACGGCCCTGGTTTGGCCCAGTCTTGGGGCTCTGGCAACTCAGAGACAGAGGGCTCCTTGCCTCCCTGCCTGGAGGAATGCCCTGGCTGGCGGAGAAATTTGGGCTTAAGGAGAGTCATAGGAGAGGAAGAACCCCAAGGTGGTTGGGGGATGGCTTTACTCCAGCTGCTTTCCTCCAGGCCCTGCTGACCCCAGAGGATGCAGTCCTTTCGGATGAGCTGAACCATGCTTCCATCATCGACGGCATCCGTCTGTGCAAGGCCCACAAGTACCGCTTCCTCCACCTGGACATGGCTGACCTAGAGACCAGGCTGCAGGAGGCCCAGGCAGGGCAATGCCGTGGGTTCCAGGGGCAGATTGGGCTTCTCCTCAGCCTATCTCCTGGTGAAGGGAGGCTTGATGAGGCCAAGTCCGTATTCACAAACAGCCTGAAAGTTTGAAAGAGCCAAGATTTGAATCCAAATCCCTAGACTCGGAGCTGAATTCCATTACGCCATGTTGCTTTGAGTTTTTTAAATACTTCATGTGTGGCAGACCCCTAATAGGCATAACAGTGAGAAGAGCTTATAGAAAGAAGTGGCCCCACCCCACCCTCTGAAGGGGAGACTAAAAGCATCCTCACTGCCCAGGGCTAAGTGTGGCTCCAGACTGCCCCGGAAGAGATGGGTAAGGCTCAGAGAGGCATAGATGAGGGAGAAGATGTTCTAGTCCCAGTACAGTGGTGCTTGCGTGACCACCTCTGTTCTGGGCACGGGGCCAGGTAAGCTCTTAGAGCCCCAAGTAGCACAGAAGGTGGGTGGTTTGGCTCAGCTTGCAACACCAGCTGCCACTGTCCCTGTCTTCCTTGCAGAAACATCGACTATGCCTGGTGGCCACTGATGCGGCCTTTTCCATGGACGGCGACATTGCACCCCTGCAAGAGATCTGCTGCCTCACCTCTCAATATGGTGCCCTGGTCTTTGTGGATGAATGCCACACCACTGGCTTCCTGGGGACCACCGGACCGTGGGAGCATGTGGCACCTGAGGCCTTGGGTTGGGCTTCTAAGGGTGGGTGGGAAACTGAGAGGCCAGCCCCCAGCCCAGCCCGTGGTTGCTGGGTGCTCGGGTGGCCAGTGGTGGCGGTGGCAGCTTCCCTTGTAGAGGCGCGGATGAGCTGCTGGGCGTGATGGACCAGGTCACCATCAGCTCCACACTGGGGAAAGTGCTGGGTGGAGCATCAGGTGCCTGTAGGGTTGTGTCCCCGGAGTCTCCTTATCCACATGCAGGGCCCTGGAGGCCTGTGAGAGAAGGTCGGGAGGGGAGACCTGGGGCTGCAGAGAAGAGGGCAGCATGGACTGTACTCTCAGGCGGGACTTCAGGTAGGCTCCTGGCCCCTGACTGCCCCCGCTGGGCCCCTGGTGTCCCTGCTGCGACACCAGGGACACCAGCGTGCCCGGCCCTACCTCTTCTCCAACAGCCTGCCACCTGCCGTCGTTGGCTGTGCCTCCAAGGCCCTGGACCTACTCATGGAGAGCAATGCCATTGTCCAGTCTATGGCAGCCGAGACCCAGCCGTGAGGTCCCTGATGGGTGGGGAAAGATGGGGTAGGGGCGCCCCCATGTGCCTACTCAGCCCACCTCCCAAGTCTCTCTTCCTTGGCCTCTTCCTTCCATTTCCTGGTGCGTTTCTCTGCGAGTGACCCTGGGTCTCCCCATCTTGTGCCATCTCCTTTCCACCTCCCTTTTTGGTCTGCTTGTTCCTCTGCCTGGCTTCCCATCTGACTCTCTGCATCTACATCTCTATCCCTATTGGTCCCCCCTGCAGACTTGGGTACAGATCTTGGGTCACATGCCCATCGGGAACAAGTGCAAATTCTCCACAGTCCCCCAGCGACCTGTGATGCCTGGCTTGTGCCCACAGGTTCCACAGTAAGATGGAGGCTCCTGGCTTCACCATCTCAGGAGCAAATCACCCCATCTGCCCTGTGATGCTGGGTGATGCCAGGCTGGCCTCTTGTATGGCAGATGACATGCTAAAGAGAGGTAAGCGGGCCAGGACAAGAGTACCGGCTGTAGAGAAAAGGGGGGGAACCCCTAGACTGAATATTTTCCCTTATCCCCACCCTACTACCTTCTTAGAGCACCTGTCCAAGCTTAAAAACTCCAGGCCATGTGGCAGTCCCCTGTAAGACACCTTGTGCAGCTCCCTTGCCCACTGTGATCCTCAGGAAAGTAGGAGCTGTGTGTCATGCTCCAGAGCCTGCCTGGCCTGGTGAGGCCCAGGCTGACTTTCTCTATCTTCTCAGGCATCTTCGTCATTGGGTTCAGCTATCCAGTGGTTCCCAAGGGCAAGGCCAGGATCCGAGTACAGCTCTCAGCAGTGCATAGTGAGGAGGACATCGACTGCTGTGTGGAGGCCTTCGTGGAGGTGGGGTGGCTGCATGGGGCACTGCCATGAGCCCTGGGTAGTGACAAGCAGAGCTAACGTCCCCCTCCCTCCATAGTGACAAAGGGGGCCTTTGATAGCCCAGGCCAGAGGCGCTGAGCTCTGTCAAAGTACTAGGGTTGGGCTGGGGCTATATCACGTTGGTCTGCTTTATTCTCTCTGAGCAGGCTGACCTGCTCTGTGACTGGTTGAAGACGCAGGCAGGAGCTGAGGCTCTGCAGGCAGTCTCCTGAGGACTGTAATAGACTTCAGAACTGACCACCTACCCCCGATTAAGATAGACCCAGGCAGCTGGGGGAAGATAGCAGGGGCCGCTGTCTGGCTCAGCTGGATTCTGTGCTGCTCTCGAGAGCAGCTGAGCATCACTCCTGCAGACCCTTTCCCATGCCAACCACCCGCTACTCCCCAGCCTCCAGAGTCTAGCTTTGGTGGACACCTTGTCCTCTCCTCCCTGTCCAAAGTATGGCCTATAGCTGCCCAGATAAGAAAAGACTGGACACCCAAATCCATATTTGGGAGGAGAGGCAGAGAGTTTGGACTCCAAAGGAACAAATGTGGGTCACTATTGGAGAGGCCCCTGACAATCTGGAACCCTGTGTTATAGCCTACCTGTCCTTGACCCTGTGGCCTTGAGCAGGCCCCATCCCCTATGTGTGCCACTGTACCAAGAATGGGTGTTCTGCCCTTATCTGGGGGCCCTTCCATCTCTCTCATCCCATGGCCTACTGGCCTGATGATCAGCCACCAGGGGGCGCAGCGAACTCAGGCTCTGGCCACTATCGCCCCACCCGCTCCAGACTCCAGGCCTTGGACTGGGCTGGCAAGGCCAGGAAGGCAGATTGACTGCCAAAGCCCCATCTACCTTTGTCCTCCACAAGGGCTCACTGCACCCCTACTGGAGATTACACCCCTTCCCACAGTCACTACCCTTGGTCCTTTCTCCATTTCCTTCCCTGCTCAGCCTTTGGGCACCTGGTGGGATTTGGGGATGGCTTCTGAGTCACCACAATTTGTGATGTGGCCTTGGGAATCTCGTAGTTTGGTTGGAGTAGAGCAGGAAGTATGAAAAGTCCCTTCATTAACAATCAGGGTTCTAGCACCCCACACCCCCAGCCTTCCCCTTAGCCTGGACTTGGGATGGACCATCTGGGCCAGCTCCAGCTCAATCCTGCAGGATCTTAACACTAGGATTCTGGGATTCCTAGCCTGTGATCTGGAGGAGGTTGAGGCTGGGGTTGAGGAACTTGGGGTGCTAGCGGGGTGCAGCTAGGGGAAGGGCTGCTGTGGTCACATCAGTGGCAGGAACACTTACATGCCGCCACCACAGGATAGGGCACCCGGTGCCAGCCCAAGGCCCAAGCAGCAGCTTGATATGCATGGTCTGTGCAGCCTGGAAGATCATACGCGATGGCCAAAAGCAGCTGTGTAGGGTTACACCGGGAACTTGGGGTGCTAGCGGGGTGCAGCTAGGGGAAGGGCTGCTGTGGTCACATCAGTGGCAGGAACACTTACATGCCGCCACCACAGGATAGGGCACCTGGTGCCAGCCCAAGGCCCAAGCAGCAGCTTGATATGCATGGTCTGTGCAGCCTGGAAGATCACACGCGGTGGCCAAAAGCAGCTGTGTAGGGTTACAGCGCAGTCAGTGTGGCGTATGAGTGGGGCCAGAACACAGGCCCAGATTCACTAGCCAGTGGCACAGAGTGTGCACTGCCTCCTCCTGCAGCTCCCAGGTTCTGCAGCTGGTGTAGTGCTCCCCAGCGGACAGCGTGAGCAGTGCCAGCGTTGAGATATACTGGGCCAGCTGACGACAGTAATGCACCACATGGTCAACCAGCATGTGGAGCTACGCCAGCTAGGGCCTGCCACCATCCAGAGGGCATCATCCAGACGGGGTCGTAGGGCCCGCAGCAGGTGCAGTAGTCTTTGGCTTGGGCGCATACTGGTAGTCACCACCACACACCTGCTACAGGCTGTAGTGCCCTGCAGGGCTTGGGGGTCACCTGTACTTCTGTGTACTGCAGGACTTGGGGCTTCGGGGGCTGCTTCCAGGACACGCTGTATACGTCCTCCGCCCTCTGCATTAGGCTCAGAGTTCATGCCACGGCGGTCAGGAGCAGCACTTGGAGCAAGGGTAGGAAGTAGTGCCAGGGGTGCACTGAAGCTTGGGCATGATGATGTGCCCTTCCTGCCTGCCCCATGATGGGGCCCTCTGTAGTCTCCTCCATCTTCCCCTCCTTCCCTCAGCCTCTGCTATCATATCAGCTGCTCAGCCATGCCACTGCCGGGAACTCTTTGCCTGAGTACTGCCACAGCCTACCCAGAGCCAGCCCGGAGAGAGCGGGGGCCCCCCAAGGGGAGGGAGGATAGTGTGTCAGGGATCTCAGGGGCTTTCAGGGTGCAGGCATGCCACGTTTGTGAGTCCAGGCTTCTGGGAGTCTGTTGGTGCCTTACTTTCATGCAGGGTAGTTGTGGGCCTCTAGCATCAATGATTCTAAGATCTCACCACACAGTCTAGAATTCTACAGTTCTGTCCTTCAGTGATCATACGAATCAATTCTAATTCCTTAATTAAATTTTGAGAACTCTAAATTCAGGTTTGGAGAGTCAAGGTATGATTCCCAACATCCTCAGTTCAGTGAGTCTGCTTCCCAGAATTTGAGGATTCTCTGCACCTAGGATGAGCGACATCAGGCGTTAGAGAAGCACCTCTGAGTTCTGGTAGAAATCCCAGGGGCCTGGAGGAGCCAGTTCTGAAGCATCTTCCCCAGCCCATCAGGCCTTGAATGCAAGTCCTGGCTTTATCAACATCTCCTCAGACTTTTCTCTCTACTTTCCCAGACTTCCCCTTGACATTCCAGCTTCTAGAAGGACTCCACACACAGTCCCAACTACCCTTTCTCTTTTAACTCCTTGCAGATTGCCTTCTGCCCTCAGTACACTTGTCAGGTTTACCAACAGCCTCCTCTTCGCTAAATCTAATGCTCTTCAGGTGCTAGTCTCTAACCCTCTGAAAGCATTGGGACATACGACCCACTCCTCCAAGAGACCAGGCCAGACTGCTGACCGAACCAGACACTCATCAAGACCTGTTAACCTCTGGCTTTTGCCTAGATAAGGGGCTACTAATGGGTCACTCATTAAATCATTCCCTGTCTGTTCTCACCCCAGGCCATAAACTAATTACAAAATAAATGGGTAGGTCATGTCCCTGCTCTAGAACCTTCACTAGTTCCCCATTGCCCTTGGGCTAAAGCCAGACTCTGGATGGGCACATAAACACTCTAGTCTCTGGCCAGACTGAACCCCTGGACTAAACTTAGGGAAGCTGATGGGTCTCAGGGTTCACAGGGCCTGGGGTAGGAGTCCTATCTGAAGTCTGTAGACATGGGACTCATTCTGGTTTCCTAGCCTAGGACACCTCATTCAAAACTAGGAATCCTTTGTGAGCTTAGATTGGAGCAGGGAAGGGGAAGGAGGGGGAGTAGACTCATCAGGCAGGGAAGAGATGGGAGTACCAAGGATGGGCTGGGCCCTGGGCATGGAGGGGTTAACTACAAAGCCAATCTCAGCGAAATCAATGGGTTACAGCAGAAAGAGGCAGAAGCAATGCAGAAAGGCAAGGAAGAGCCAGGCAAAAGAGCATGCCACCCGTGGGAAACCAAGGACTGAGGAGTAGGTGGTCATTGGGCACTCCGGAGAGACTGCCCAAGTCTGGCTCAGAAGAGGAGGAGCTTTAAAGAGGGAGAAGTGAGAGGCAGACCTCTATCTGCAGGGAGGCACCCAGGGGCAGCCACTGAGCCAGGAGGTAGCTTCAGCCAGGCTGGTTCACCCAGGATCAAGCAGCAGCCCAGCCAGCGCCCAGGGTCAAGGTAGGCATTGCCCATACTGTGCTTCAGGGGATCTGCTGCATGGTGGATGCTGGGGTGGGCAAAATATCCCATCCCTCTCCCCTGCCTGTCCCTATTGCCTTTCATTTGTCCCACCCACCCCCCTTCCAGAGATCTCAAGCTTCAGGGAAATCCACAGGTAGTAGCTGATGTTGGCTGAGGATGGGACAGGAGTGAGGGTGGGCACAGCTTGCACAAATGCACACACACACACACGCACACAGGTCAGAGGCACCACCTGTTACAGACTCAGATGAGCGCCCTAGCCTGGGTGTCAGAGTACTAGGATGGCAACAGCCCCAGATCTGCCACTAAAAATGTGATCATTAGCCTCCCATACTCCCTCTCTGAGCTTTGATTTCCTTGTGTGCAAAAGGAGGGCAGTGACCTATATGGTTTTCCCAGATGTGCCACTGTGGGGCTCACTAAACGATTCTCCAGTGACGCGGGGACGTCACCCATGTTTTGCTGACCTACCCATGTCCGAGTCTTGCTTGAGCTTCAGATCCTCACTGAGAAATATGCCAGCTCCTGGGGTTGGAGTTGCCCATCCCCCCATCTGCCATGTCCTCACCCCATTCTGCCTGTGTCTACCTGCATCATTGGTTAGAGGTGTCCATCGACTCCCTAATTATCCTTCATGCCTTAAGCTATGGACATGTTCCCTAGGAAACTGAGAAACACCTCAGACACCAATGTGACTGTGCCAGGAGCTTATACAGTGGGTCTCAGTGATAACTTTTGGCTGTGTCCCCAGTTCCCACCCTCATGAGTTTCTAGCCCAGGAGACTCAGCCAGGCTCAGGCTGGAGGAACTAGACCCCTAAGTCTAGTGACCAGAGCTCGGGGCTCCTGCCTGAGGACTCCAGCTTCTCTTCCCCAGGTAACCGTCTGATGCAGAGATGGCTGATGCCCAGAACATTTCACTAGACAGCCCAGGAAGTGTGGGAGCTGTGGTAGTGCCTGTGGTCTTTGCCCTCATCTTCCTCTTGGGCACAGTGGGCAATGGGCTGGTGCTGGCGGTGCTGCTGCAGCCTGGCCCAAGTGCCTGGCAGGAGCCAGGCAGCACTACGGATCTTTTCATCCTCAACCTGGCAGTGGCTGACCTCTGCTTCATCCTGTGCTGTGTGCCTTTCCAAGCTGCCATCTATACACTGGATGCCTGGCTCTTTGGGGCCCTCGTCTGTAAGGCTGTGCACCTGCTCATCTACCTCACCATGTATGCCAGCAGCTTCACACTGGCTGCTGTCTCAGTGGACAGGTGCGCTGTGCTGGGACCTGGCTGGGTCTGGGCTGGGGAGGAAAGACCTGAACAGATGCTCACTGGCCTTAGCGGAGATAGAATGGGATACCCAAAAAGGAGATGAGAGGGAGAAGAGGAAGAGCTCTTTGGCCCCCATCATCCAATCTCGGGACCTGCAGGGTATGCTTGAGGGGACCATCCTGCCATCCCCCCAACTCCACTGTGAGCTTCCCTAGGACATCTTTGTGTCTCAAGTGTCAGCACAGGGCCTGGCAAACAGTAGGCGCTCTATGAGTGTGAAATGAATAGCAAAAGGAACACATGAATAAATTCAGGTATTTTATTACCGCTCATACCTGGCCCAGGTTGTGGTCATCATACCTGCTTTCGTGGCTTGAAGCTTGGGATCAAATCCAGGCTCACTCTCTAGCCGATGACCTTGGCCAAGTCACCTGTGTGCCTCCGACCCCTCCTTGCTAAATGCCAGACATTGCTCTATGCCCTTCAGTATTAATTCCTTTAATCACCACCAGTCTGGGAGGCAGGTCACGCAGTCACCCTCACTGTTCAGATGCAGAGATCAAGGCTGCTAGCCCCTAGGTCCCGGGCGAAGCGTCTCCATGGGGGTGCGGATGCATGTCTGCCGGCCGGACACCCTCTGATCCAGCAACCGCCCGCAGGTACCTGGCCGTGCGGCACCCGCTGCGCTCGCGGGCCCTGCGCACCCCGCGCAACGCCCGCGCCGCGGTGGGCCTGGTCTGGCTGTTGGCGGCGCTCTTCTCGGCGCCCTACCTCAGCTACTACGGCACCGTGCGCTACGGCGCGCTCGAGCTCTGCGTGCCGGCCTGGGAGGACGCGCGCCGGCGCGCCCTCGACGTGGCCACCTTCGCTGCCGGCTACCT